TGTAACGATTGTATTAGTTGTTACCGTTAAACATTTTACTACTTAATACCAAAATCAACAATTTTGTTGTTTAGTTTTTTAAACTATTTTTTTTTTTTAATTTTGTACCAAAAAAGTTTTGACGCCATTGATAGAGACAGCTCAAATTTGGAGCAATGTTGTAATGTATAACAATTTATAACCTTCAGAATAGTTCAGAATGGACTTTTTTATATTAAAGTATCTCGACAAAGATAAAAAATGCTAAAATAAGTTAAATTGAATATAAAACTTGAGAAAATATCGAAAATTCTTGATAACTGAAAATATCACAGAGGACTAATCTTTAGAGCATTAAGACCAGTATATAAACCATTTGCCATGTCGTATAAAAAATCTATGAAAAAGACGTTCTTTTTATTATTAATTTATTTTTTTCTAGGTCAATAATTCCGGGAAAAAAGTTCACATACCTTGAGATGGAAAAGAAAATATAGAACTACAAGACGACTCATGCATTAATATTCCTCCTTAAAGTATGTGTTGTGTTTTGGGAAATAAATATATTCTAACAGAGTTATTTTTTACTGATATAGCCCGCCATAAATATCGCATATTACAGGTTGTTTTCGATGTAATGTGCATTGTTTCTTCATTGCCGTGATATTTTAAAACCATATAATTTAATTCTCTAATATTAGCTACAGAAACATAATTATTTTTTATTACACCTTTTATAAGTATTAGAATCACTCTCTGATCTAAATTGCAGTGTCCGTTTATACTTAAGATACTGATTTTTATAGCCTTTGACCTCCAATATATCGCTTAACGCACATAGAATCTATTGTCATTTTTAGTCTCATGATTGGAAACTCAAGACGAAGCTTTGCGAAGCACTGAGCAAACTTTAAATTAACTATCTATAATTACCCAATTTTCACAGTTTAATTTTCCTGGGCTTAATAGACTTATTGATGGGTTTTTATAGGAATTTTCTATGGAAAAAGTGCTTAATAAACTATAAGTAAACGTTTCATATCTTAATGAATACGGGGGTTAAATTTTATTTATGTGTAATAAAATTATTTCGTAAAATAAACGATTTTTTAGTATTTACGAATAGCTACGATATAATTTCTTATTTTATTTTCATTTACAAACGAAATCACCCTTTGAATTCGTTTAAAATTTCGATCGATATCGAATGTAAAAAATTGCTAATATTTATGTGTAGTAATTATAAATATTTTTCTAATATTCTTTCCAGCCCTTAAAGATGCGGTTAAAAAAGCTCGATCTGAAGAAATTATTATACCATTTGGTGTTGGCATTGCCGGTATGGTGGCGCAAACAAAACAAATGATTAATATACGAGAGGCATATAAGGATGCACGTTTTAATTGTGAAATTGATTTAAAAACAGGCTATAAAACCAACACTATACTATCGATGCCCATATGCAATTATGAGGGTGATATCATTGGAGTAGCACAAATAATCAATAAAACGAATGGCTCAAATGAATTCGATGAACATGATGTAGAAATATTTCGCAGATATTTAACATTTTGTGGTATTGGTATACAGAATGCTCAACTATTTGAAATGTCCGTCCAGGAGTATAGGCGTAATCAAATTTTATTAAATTTGGCGCGCAGTATATTCGAGGAGCAAAATAATTTAGAATGTTTGGTGACGAAAATAATGACCGAAGCTAGGGAGCTATTAAAATGTGAACGGTGTTCTGTGTTTTTAGTTGATTTGGATTGCTGTGAGGCGGTAAGGATTATATTTTTATAATAGTTAAAATTTTAGTTAAAATTTACTACAGACTTCTTTATTAAAGATAAATTATTTAAAATAGAAGAAAATTAATTGAACATATTTATAACAATTACATTAACATTGTTCAACTCTTTATTAATTAACCCTACATTCTCAAAATTTGTATTACAGTAATTATTCAAACATTGTTAATCTATTTTCACCTTATAAACATCCGTATTTTATTTCAGAGTCATTTAGAGAAAATTATTGAAAAGCCCAATGAAATCCAAAGACGTTTAAGTCGTAGCATTAAAAGTACTGAAAGTTTTGAAGAAAAGGTAAGTCATTTAACAAATACCAGCAAATGTCAATACAACATATTCACCTAGTTAAAAATTTTAATATTTTAGCAAAAAATGTCCACCCGATTTACGGTACTTTTTGAATTGGGAGCCGCCAACCAATCGGCAAATATTTCACGGCCATCAGTAGATGACTTGAGTAATTCAACTTTGGCACAAATTGCACAATATGTAGCTTCAACCGGATATACGGTGAATATAGCCGATGTCCGGGAATGGGTTTTAGAACATAATCAAATTAAGGCAGAAAATGAAATCGATTGCATTAAGGCAATACTATGTATGCCAATAGTGAATGCTCAAAAGACAGTAATTGGTGTAGCTCAATTGATAAACAAAGGTACTGGTGTACCTTTTACCGATTCGGATGCTTCAATATTTGAAGCCTTTGCCATATTTTGCGGTCTTGGCATACACAATACCCAGATGTATGAAAATGCTTGTAAATTAATGGCTAAACAGAAAGTGGCACTGGAGTGTTTATCATATCATGCTACTGCAGCACAGGATCAGACAGATAAACTGGTGCAGGATGTCATAGAATCGGCAGAAACATATAATTTATATAGTTTTAAATTTATAGGTGGGTATAAAATATTATAAAGCATAGAAAGTTTTCAATTCAGTCAAAATGCAAAAATCTTTTCAGATTTCGATTTGTGTGATGACGACACTTGCCGTGCTGTGGTACGCATGTTCCTGCAATGTAATCTGGTGCAAATGTTTCAAATACCTTACGATGTTTTGTGTCGCTGGGTCCTAAGTGTACGCAAAAATTACCGTCCCGTTAAATATCACAATTGGCGCCATGCCCTCAATGTGGCCCAGACTATGTTCGCCATGATGAAAACTGGCCGCATGGAACGTTTTATGAAGGATTTGGAAATATTTGGTTTGCTCGTCGCATGTTTGTGTCATGATTTAGATCATCGAGGCACTAATAATGCTTTTCAAACTAAAACTGAATCTCCATTAGCCATATTGTATACTACCAGTACTATGGAACATCATCATTTCGATCAATGTGTTATGATTTTGAATTCGGAAGGAAATAATATATTTCAAGTAAGTATTTTTAGTTTAACTAAATTTATTTAAGACACATTTGTTCAAATAAAATGGTTTTGTTACTTTTTTTTGTTTATTAATTTTAGTTAATTTAATCAGGGCAAATATTAAATACAAATATCTAGACATACATACTTGTCTAAATAAATAAACAAATAAATTCTTCTATTTATTTATATTTTATATTTAATTTACTTATAACAAGACAAAACATATTTGTGTATAATTTTATAAAGATAACTTTATTTGACAATGAAATATATTTCGGAAGTGGGCCTTATATGGGAGCTATGACCAATAATGGATTGATCAGGGAAAAAAGTGGTAGCATGATTTATATGTACACAAAACATATTCAAGTTAAATTTTATCCTTATAGCTATAGAATTCAATGAAATATATGCGTTTAAGTGGTTTTCGGAAGTGGACCTTATATGGGAGCTATATTTGTACGTACACAAAACATATTCAAGTAGAATTTTATCCCTACAGCTTTAGAATTCAATGAAATATATGAGTTTAAGTGATTTTCAGAAATGGGCCTAATATGGGAGCTATGACTAATCATGGGCCTGTTGGGAACAAATTTCGTAGAGTGATTCATATTTAGACAAAACTAGTTGGTGTTGAATTTTAGCTTTATTTGACAATGAAATATGTGATTTTCGAAAGTGGGCCTTATATGGGAGCTATGACCAATAATGGACCGATCCGTAAAAATTTGGTAGAATGATTTTGATGTACACGAAACATATTTAACTCGAATTTTATCACAATAGCTTTATTTGTCAATGAAATATTTGCGTTTAGGTCATTTTTGGAGTGGACCTTATATGGGAGCTATGACCAATTGTGGACCGACTGAAATCTACGTTGGTAATATGATTTCTGTAGAGTTAGAGTGAGGGAGTTACTAATGATTAACTAATTTTCGGGAATATATATACCTTTGTATGTGACTATGAAAAAATATTGGATCGATTGTAAAAATTTTGAACATAATTGATCACTGCCCATCGAAATATCTTTGGTAGTTTCTTCAAAGAATTAGGAAGTAGTAGTCTGAAGAGGTAGTCTGAAATTTTTACTCATAACTTATTACGTTGTGAAACGATTCAATACCAAACCGCCTAGGATAATAATAAATATTTAGGGCGAATTTTGTTGATTTGGAAGATTAAATTAATCTTCACATATATTACATAGAAATTTAATAAAATTCGGCTAAATTGTCAAAATAATCCGTATACTGTTCGAAAAATTACACCTTTTGTTAATATTTTAAAATTTTACAGAAGCCTGCTTTACATTTCCTAATGCGCTTTCGAAAGACCTTTTCAATTACACCACTGTCGCTCTACTCTGTTTACAAAAGGGACTCGAATGACCCATTAAAATTAAAAATTTGTTCTGCAGAAAGCTAAACAAAAAATATATTTTGAAGTGAATTCTGAAAGTTCATGTAAATTTAGTGTTAAAGAGGCGCAACTTTCAATGACCGATAACATGAAAGTTTGTCTTACCAACGCCGAACGGTTTGGGGATACTACATGCGAATTTTTTGCATTATTTAAGTTTGCTATGCTTTTTATTGACAATGCGTTTGATGTCTTGTGTAAAAAGTATCACTGCATTTAAAACTAATTCTGTATTCGAAAAATGTGTTGAAAATAACATCACAACGTTAACGTATACATTGTTACCTTTAGGAAAGTGGCCAAACACTCCTCGAGACACGTCGAATAACTATATGTTTGAATTTTTGTATTATTGGATACATCCCTTATCAAGTCCATTGATTACGAACATGCATAACTATTTATTAATATAGAAAATGTGTCATGTACGGAATTCTTTGTTTTCATTGATTTTTGCAATTTTTGATAATCATAATGAATATTAGAAAAAACTGAACAAATGCCCCTAGTTCGATTTTTTCTAATATTCATTATGGTTATCAAGCTTTCGAGTAAAATCAATATCAAGTATTTTTATATATATATATATATATATTTTTTTTTTTTTTTTTTTTTTTTTGATTTAAGGATACTGTACTACAATCTAGTCAATTTAATTAAAAACCATAAATTAACTTAAAGAAATATGGCCTTCAATATCACGAGAATTTTTTTGTACTACATAATTGTATCATATTTTCAAAGTATTTTTTATTTATATTTTCTAATTGGAAAGTACCAACATATGTATTTATATTATTTTTAACATGCGTAGAATTTTATTAAATTTAAACTAACATAAAATATGAAAACACAAATATTTGCATTTTATACACATGTATAGGCAACTTTAACAATATCAAATAGACAAACGTACAAACTACCATTTCTAACTATAAAAGGAAGCTTTTTTCGTAGTTTTGATATCAATTCAAAAACCACTTTCGATCATAAACTATTAACAAGAATTTAAATAAATTTTTAAAATGAAAGTTGCCTTGGTCTTTCTTATTATTGCCTTTATGGGTATAGTTAATATTGCCATATGTGCAGCTGTTGAAGAAGAAACTACACAATCTCCGGATACTACAACAACTACTACAACTGTCGCACCACCGGCACTACCTGCAGGACCCAAAAAGAAAAAAGTCACTATAACCAACTTGAAATATACAGCCATCCGCACAATAAGAAGGAATGGAGGCGCAAATCGAAAAAATAGAAATGGTGGAAGACAAGTAAGAAATGGAGTTGCAAATGGAAAAAATAGAAAAGGTGGACAACAAGTGAGAAAGAATAACAACAAAAGGATTAATAAAAATAAACGTGTTAACAGAAATAATCAAAACAGAAACCGTATGGGCTAAATAGATTAACATGGCTAAAGAATAATAGAGCAAAATCTAACAACTTGATACACGTATTTGTAAAAAATCTTAAATAACGATATTTGTAATAAAATCATTTTGCATTTATAAAATTTGTTTTTATTTTAATTCGATTCTGATCTTATTAAATCTTACTTTGGGTCAAGAACCAACTTCTAACGAATTTGAAAAATTGGTTAATGTTTTTAAACAAATCATTTTTGTCGAATTTTATCATAATAATAAAATGATTATTGAGAATAATCATGATTATTGGTTAAATAAACAAAATCATATGCAGTACAGGAGACATGATCTGGGAGGTATATGAAAAAGTGGTTCAATATCAACAACAAACAAACCTTGCCTATAAAGAATAATTGTGGAAGATTTCAGCGCCCTAGCACTTTCCATTTGGACCTTACCGAGCTTTTAACAGACGAATGGACATGGCTATATTGTCTTAGAATAAAATAAGAATCTAGGAATGATAAAACCAATAAGTCTAACCTTGTTCTTCGATGATGTACAATGTATGCTTTTTACAATATTGCTGGGAGAATTTAGTTATTTTCGCAATTTTTATCGATGGTCAAAAGCTAATAAAGAACTGTTTCCATAGATGAGAGTCTAAGTTAACACAAAACAAAATTGCGACATTACACGAAATATATATTCGGAATTTGTTTATAATATAAAGTATCAGCAGCTCTGAATTCATTTTTTAACAACCAAATGTATTTATATAGATAAGTAAAAATAATTTAATTTTTTAACACTTATAGGCTCTATCACCAGAAGATTACCGTGCCGTAATGAAAACTGTAGAAAATGCTATACTTTCCACCGATTTGGCAGTATATTTCAAAAAGCGTAATGCCTTTTTAGAACTTGTGGAAAATGGAGAATTCGATTGGCAAAGTGAAGAGAAAAAAGAATGTAAGTTAAAACCACAAACTATAAACAATTGTAATAAATATTTAAAAAAAAAAATATTTTTTATTTTGTATTTGTAGTATTATGTGGCATGATGATGACGGCCTGTGATGTTAGTGCTATAGCAAAACCTTGGGAAGTGCAACATCGTGTTGCAAAATTAGTAGCTGATGAGTTCTTTGATCAGGGTGATTTAGAAAAATTACAATTAAATACACAACCTGTGGCTATGATGGATAGAGAACGTAAGGATGAATTACCAAAAATGCAAGTGGGTTTTATCGATGTAATATGTTTGCCGTTATATCGAGTACTGTGTGATACTTTTCCTTGGATAACGCCCTTATATGAGGGAACTTTAGAAAATCGCCGTAATTGGCAAGATTTAGCGGAAAAGGTAGAAATGGGTTTAACATGGATTGATCATGATACTATTGACAAACCAGTCGAAGAATTTGCTGGTGAGTATTTAAGGTATATAGTTGATAATATATAATAACAAAAAAATATTTTTTGTTTTGTATCGAAAGCCTGTGCTGAGGAAGATATAAAAGATATAGAATTTACGGTGACCACCTTAAATTGCCATCAACAGCCGCACAGTGATGAGACCTCTACACCGGAACACCACCGCGGCACTTCGCGTTTAAGCATGAAAAAAACTGGCGCTATAGGTAAAGCCGTCAAGTCGAAACTCACAAAAACTCTGTACAACAGCATGGACGGTGTTAAGCCAAAAACTTCTCTAAAGCTGCTAGAAACTCATGTCAGCGAAGATCTCGATGATAAAAGCCCGACAAGTCCGTCACAACCACCGAGTGGTTCTACCGGTCAAATGTCAGCCTCATCATCAATATCATCATCGTGTACCACCACATCGGCAAGCGATAAGAATAAAAAACGTTCAAAATTATGTGCTCTCTTGTGACGAAAACCTTCCAATTAGAATTTAAAGTAAGATTTTAAATTTTGAAAACAAAAATCTACTAATTCTAATTGGAAGTGAGTATCGTGTATTTTAAAGCACTTGTCTGAAGACAAGTTCTGAACATTTTGTGGTTAATTTAGAAAATTATTAAATACTTTAAAAGTAAACAGTAAAACTTAAATAATTTCAGCGTATGGAAGTAATCAATTTATTTATATGTTAATCCATATTTAGCGAACGATTACAAATAAATTTGTAACAACATCTCCTGAATGACATTAAGTGTTGAAATTTCAAAACTTTCAATTCTGTTTTCTATGTTGGTTTTTAGTTTAAAAAAGCTATATTTGTATATAGAGATTTTATGGTACTTCCATTAAATTGAAAATGGTTTCTTTAATTTACATCATTCAGTAACAAATTAAATATATAACTAGGAAAAGTTTTAGTATTTAGAAAAAGGAAACTTTCTTAGATATAGAATGAGTGCAAACAGAACCTCTTAACATTAGTAAGTGGCATCAATGGATCTTGGAATGTCGTAATATACATCCAGGAAAAATTATAAAATTGTTTCTAAAAGAAACTTTTTTTAGAACGAGTGTAAACAGAACCACTTCAGATTCATGAAACTAGTGATTTCAAATTTTATTTTAGATATCTAAATATTTTTTTGAACCCCAAACTGTGTTTTTAATCTTTCAAAAATGACAAACAACTCAATACTAAATAAAAATCGATTACCAAAGTAAATAAACTAACCAATGTCTAATATCTCAATATTTAGTAAAGCAACCTATGCTGAAATATTTGTAGAGTTAAATAAGAAGTAGTAAAAATCCTAATATGTATAATCAAATACATACATACAATAAAAACTGATTCTAGTCAAAAACTTGCTTATATGCGAATACAAATAAAATAAAAGATTAAACTACTAAAGTTGAAAAACCCCAAACTAAATAGAAACTCAAAGAATAATAAATTTAATTTAAATTTAAGTAAATTAGAGCAAAACTTTTAAAAAATAATCAAAATTATTAGTAAATGTATAAATAGTTAATTTTTTTTCTTATAAAAATGAAAACTATAGCAATATAAATGATATTTATAGCAAATATAATTATAATTAAATGCTAATATATAGATGATTAATTGATGTGTAAAAAAGTAAATATAAAATAATCATATATAAGTCAATTTTATGAAAAAAATAAATTTTGAAAAATCTCAAATGAAATACGTATAAAAACACATTTTGACAAGGAAATTGTAACTGTGCGTATATATAATAGAAATGACTAAATAAAGCACAGTGATTAAAAGTGTTTAGCAAAAAATAGATTATCATTTAATAAAGAAAAATACCTAGTTTTGTTTTACATCTCATGTATATACAATTTGAAAAAATATATCGATACCCTATATTCAAAAAGTGCTAAATCAATAATGTCTAGTTTTCAGGAAAGCAAAAAAACTATTTAATTCGTGAAATATTGCACTAAAAGAAAATATTTCTTCCATAATACGTTTTTAACATCCTTACTAATTCTTACCTATGAAAAAATTTTAATATTTTGCATATTTTAGCGACTTATTTAAGATAGCACTTTTTGGTCGACAAAAAAACAAATACTTGTTCTAAGTTAGCATGTTTTGTTCAAAGAATAGAACAAAAATTTCTTCTAATAATATGCGTTATTTTATAATTTTATGAAATGTTTTTTTTTTTTTAAAGGGATATAAGTCAAACCAGTAAGTCCAATAAGATGCATTTACACCATTTAAGTAGAAAAACTCATGGCATATCTGCTTGTTTACTATTCCTTATTCTCAGTACAAATATTTTAAATTATGAAAAGTTTTTGAATATAAAAAGTACCAATATTTTTTGCATAATACTCCATAATTTGCACATTTAAAGACTTTTTTATAATCAGAATTCTAAATTGAAACCATAGAATATTATAGATCTTAGTGTTATAAACGTTTTCTGAAATAACTTTACAATTTTCGGAAAAACATTATTTAAAGTATAAAACTGGCTTTATATACAAATATATAAAAATGATCATATCTTAAAAACTATACATTCAATTTATTAATCTTAACCTGTTTTGTGTTCAGCATGTCCATCTTGTTAATATACAAAATAAATTTTAAATAAATTTGAAGTTTTAAAAAATGTTGTAAAATTTGTATGGAAGTTAGCACTTATTTTCTTCAATAAAAATTTAACTTTGAGATAGCATATTAACAAAAATTGTTGTTAAAAGTGCAAAAATTACTTTTTTGGTTTCAAATTTATACCAGACGTGGATCATGCATTGAGGAATCCTTTTGCATCAAAAACTTACTTTGCCCAAAATTGAGTTCGCACTTTTTGAATATAGGGTCACGATATATAATAACCTATTTTATTTAAATATGCACAATTTTATTAAATAAATTCTTTATTACCACCTAAAACCTTTGTGTACATTTTCTGAGCAATAAATAAATAAATAAAAAAAACTATATTGCTTCAGTATTAGATTATATAAACTGTTTTTTATATTTTTTAATTTATTAATGGTAGTTTTATTGTTTATATTAATTTAGAAAATTGTCTCACGCATAGAAAATATTGTAAAAACTTAAACTAAATAAATCAAAAGACAAAGAAATGAATAAAGTTTACTCACTTAAAAATTATAAGAAATTCGTTTTTATTTACACATTTTTTAAACAACGGTAAAAATTTTCTTAAATCATTAAGGACCACTTTATGGTCCTTGTGCCAGGACTTTATGTAATTTTAATGAAATGTCAAAAACGAGTAATCGAAGTCCTGTAGAACAAAACATCATTTGTTAAAATTTGATAACTGGTTCTAAAGTTATTCAGTCATCAACATTTATAATTTTGAACAAAAATACCCGACATGCCCTACTTTAAGGATCCATTTCAAGTTATAACTAAATCGACAGTATTGAAAATTTGAAGTGGTCGAAATGTCTGTGGGATTACACAGCTCTTTCTGTAAATATTAAAAGTTGTAAACGGAAAAAATTTAACATTTTCCAATAAAGATTTTTAAATGTCTAACAGCACAGGAAAATAATTTCATAGATTTTCAATAACGGGAAGTCTCAAGAATACAGTTATTTTTTATTTTAGTTCAACATTATCAGACAAAGTAAGAGCAGTATCATTATTAAACACTATTTTTATACCACTTTTTTTCTATGAAGCAGTTGGCCTTCGGCCGGGCGCACAGTGGTATAGGAAAAAAAAAAGAGAGAAATAATTCGGTAACTTCTAAACGGTTAATCCGATTTTAATGAAATTTGGTATGCACAAAGAGGAGGTGTTGTCGAGTTTAGGTTTTGAATTTGGACCTTATAGGCCAACCAGGGGCCCGGCGGGGGGTCCTCAAATTAGGACACCTCGGCTATGTTAAATTTTTAAAACGATCCTATTTCTTCATTTGAGTTCCGATTTAAAAAAATATCGTATATAGAATCTCCTCATCGAGCACTATAAAAAATGTCGTCGTAGCAGTAAATTATCTCTTATAGTTTAGGAGATATTCGCATTTGAAAATTAAAATTTTAAAATTTTTACCGTCCTTACTTTAGTTTTTTTGATAATAGCGGGTCCAAATATTCCCGATTTTCGCCATTTTTTTATTCGCTTAACAACAAGTTTATATATCAAGCAGTGAAAGAATTATGTAAAAATCATGACTGAGTCCAAAGTTATAGGCATTTTAATTTAAAAAAATTAAAAAAAGGCGATTTTTTGTCATTTTTTTGGGAAAAAAGTATCTTTTTCTTTTTAAGTTATCTAAAAAGTTTCTAAGAAGATGTATATAGAATTTATACTTTTTGGAAAGCTGACTTTACATAAAATACGATAAATGAAACAAAACCTAAAAATTGTTTATACCATATACCCTATTTTTTATGGAAAATTCAATTTTGAGCAAAAATTCTCGAATCGCATAGTCAATATCAAATTATAGTGACCTGTTTTATATGACCCAATATGTTCTTAATCATTTTGTAACGGGTTTCGATAACCCCGCCCCTGGTATGGATATAATAGGCAAAAAACCAAAAAATCCCATTTTTGGGATTTTTAAAAACTTTTTTGGGAATTCCGGGATTTCTAATAAGAAAATTCGAAATTTTTATTTAATTTTGGATTTTGAGTAAAAAAATCTACCTAACTGTAAAATTTCATCAAAAAATATTCATAAATAAAATTTTTATTGCAATTTGAAAAATTTGTATCTTCGCAAAAACTGAATAAAAAACATTTTTTAATTTTTTTTTTAAAAAAGTATTCCGCGATTTTTTTAATTTTCAAAAATTATATACAGTTTTGTTGAAAAATAGACAAAATTACCTTTCCATTGATATATAACATGCCTACCTAATGTTTTTTAAGTGACAAATTAATTAGGGAAAACTCAACATCTTTTAGAAAATTTACCTAGCACTATTATTTTCATCCATATGTGTAACAAATTTAAGAGTTAACCTTAACCGCCGCGCTGTGGCGGCTCAAAGTAGGGTACCTACGACATGTAAAATTTTTAAACTCGTGCCATTTTTTTGTTTTTCACCCAAATACAAAGATTTTTATATTTTGTGAAAGCGCTCGACGAGATCTTGAAAAAAGATGCTTGGACATACTACTTATCTCTTATAATATCCGAGTTATAGGCATTTAAAAATTTAGTGATACAAAATTTACCATACCTTGGTCCGCCTTTTTTTGAATACCGGGCGTAATTTTGGACCAAATGGAGTCAATTTTTTCTTGTTAGTTAGACAACAAAATTTCCAATAATATACAAAAAATTTCATATCAATATCATTTACAGATCCAAAAATATACGTTTTTTAATTTAAAAATTCAAAAAATTTTAGATTTTTGCCGTTTTTTTTTCTAAAAATGTGTCTTAACTCTTTTATTAATAAAATAAAATTTTCTTTAAGAACATATAACAATTTTATAGTTTTCTAAAAGGTATCTTTACGCAGAACGCTTTGGAGTAAAAAACTTGTCCTATTTTTTGAAAATGTTGCCACTGCGTCCTTCCGAATATGACCTATTTTTTATCAAAACTTCAACTTTGGGCGACATGTTCTAAAATCCCAAAGCTGGGATCAGAAAACTGAAAGCAGTTTTGGAAACCCCAATATGTTTTCTATTTACTTCAAAAGTATTTTCCCAGCCCTGAAAGAAATGTGGACCCTATGGGCAAAAAAGTAAAAAATCCCATTTTTGGGATTTTCATTCCTATTTTTGGGAATTGCGGGATGCCCTTTGACCTTTTATATTTTTTTTTTGCATTTTCTTATTTGAAATGACAAATTTAACAAGCGTTGAAAATTTCATTGAGTTTTGTTCATAAATAAAGATTTTGTCATATATTACATATTTGTTTAATTTCTAAAACTATGATTTATATCAAAATTTTAATAGGGTCGCAGATAGCTACAACAATTTAGTCCATATTTATCCCTTAATATCATTTTTAGTTAGATATCGAAATTCTCGACCCTTTACAAAAAATTTCAAGCCAATATCTCAATTACATTCAAAAATATGTTCATTTAAACCTGTGTCCTTTAATTTCATCTTTTTCATATTTTAGTTTAAGTATGTTTGCTTATCCTTATAATTGAAAGGTTAGGACTTAAATTTTCAAAAATTAATAACTATTTTTTACCTAGATTTTTTCGACAGATCATTTCGTTCTGTTTCGTTTAAGATCATGTAGGTAAAAATATACAGGTAATGATAATTTCGATTCATTCACTAATAAGAAATATCAATGACTGAATTACAGGTTATAGTAATATAGTCCTAAATGTTAATAGGTAGACAATTCGTAATTTTTTACTTTGGAATACCTGTATCGGAAATGACAAGAATTGGTATATAAGTAAACTTCTCAGATTTTAAGTACCATATTTAATAAATCTACAATGAAGATTACATTAAAGTACGAAGAGTTGTGTTCCGTTTTATTGAGTGTATCTTCAAAAGGGCCAGAAAGAATTGAAGACATTTCAAATTATATAAAAACTACATATAGTAGAAAAGTAGACAAAACAGGCATATCAAAATTTGAAAACTTTTTGATGTAAAAAGTAAGTCTGTGGATGGAAATCAAAAGAAATTTCGATTAAAATTTTGTAGTTGGATGGAAACTACTACGGAAATCTCAACTTACAACACATCAACAGGAGCGCCTTGCAAGTCATACGAAGACTTATTTTCAAGGTCAAAAAAAAAAAGAGGGTCACACAAAAACTTTTTTCAATCTCAAATGAGGAAATTGCTGATACATTTAACGAAATGCTGAAAAAGGAAAACCAACCTATGGATGCCGTACATATTGCAACTATTCTTCCTAATGCATCACCAAAACGACTTAAGCGAATTGTGGGAAGTATACCAACTCCAACATCACAATCAAATTTTACTGAAGAGGAAACAATAGCGCTTATGTTGGAACTGGGTCTCAGTCGAAATAAGTACCAAATATTAAGGAAAGCTCTGCATGAAAAAGGACACAATATATTACCATCATACAAGGCGATCCAGGAAAAAAAAACTATCCTACCATCACCTATTGCTGTTAATGATGTGGAAGCTTGTATTGATATATCATCTTTGCTCGAAAACACAGCATCAAGAATTGTGTCAAATTTTCAGAAGACCAACTAAGGAAACAAAAGATTTAGTGGAATATTTAAAAGATGAAATAAATGCACTGGAGCCCACTTACATAAAAATAAAGGAATTCTCTATTAACGTATCATATCAGCTAAGCTTAACAATGATTGATGGAAAGGTCAGCAATGCCATAACAGAAACTTCTTCCTTCTGGAGATGCTCAATATGTAATGAGAAAAAGTCGCAATTCTCAAATATAAACAAAAGCAGAAGTATTAATGAAGAAGTCCTGTCTTTCGGAATTTCACCACTTCATGCCAGAATACGATTTTTGGATTACTTTTTACACATAGCATACGACCACAAATATAGAAGTGTGCCAGAGAATCTTACTAAATCAACAAAAAATAATGAAGAATTGAAAGAACTGAGAGCTGCGGAAAAAAGCAGAATCC